CGTCTCTGCTGGTGACCCGCACGGCCGGGCGCTCTGGAGAGACAAGGGCAGAGGGGGAGGCCACTGGGTTAGGGCCCGTGAGCAGCACCCGGGTCCCTGAGCACCCCCATGGTCCAGTCGTTGGAAAGCAGGAGAGGTCAGAGCCTGGGAAAGACCCCACAGGGACCTGCCCCACACAGGAGCCCAGGGGCAGGGGGAGATGGGACCTGCCTGGGGAGGGGTCTCTACCCTGCCGGCATGGAACAGAAGGGGACCCCCAAAAGGCTCTGCTGACCTCTAGGGGTCTTCACCTGTAACCCAGCCCTGGGTCAATATAATTAGTGTCTCAGACAGGCCAGGGAGTGGGGGAGTCTCTGCGGGGGGGTGTCCCGCTACCCCGTGGGCTCCTGCCCCCCTCACCTCTCCTCTGCAGCGTCTCGTTTCCGTAGCTCAGGTATTTCTGCAGCCACTCGACGCATTTCTTCTCCAGATAGTCCCGCTGCTGCTGACTCAGATGCCTGTCGGCCTCCATCTTCCCCTTGGTGATCTCGGCCTCCTTGCTGGGTGCCACCCAGGCGTGGGTGCGGGTGTCGTAGGAGAGGAAATCCCGCCCGTCGTAGCCGTACTGCCGGAAGCCCCCCGTGCCACCGTCCGCCCGCAGCTCACAGCCGTACATGTACTGGAAGGCGTGCAGGCCTGGAGAGACACGCACGGAGCCGGGTGAGGCCACAGCTCCGGCCACGGCGCCTGATGCGGCTCGTTAGACCTGACTCGGGGCCACGGCCCCTCGCTGCCCGGGGACAGGGTCACCATGGGGATGGGGATCCGGGCTAAACCCGGGGACGGGGTCACTGCCAGACCTGGGGATGGGGGATGGAGTCACTGCTTAGGCCCAGGGATATGGCACAGGGTCACCACCGGGCCTGGGGTCACCAGTGGGGCCAGGGATGGAGGATGGAGACAGAACAGGGCTCTGGGGTCCCTCCTAGGTCCCGGGTTCTGGGGTCCCTCCTAGGCCATGTGTCTGGGGTCACCGCCAGGCCCCACGCTCCGGCCCCCAGCCCCTCACCCCCGCTCTGGTTGTAGCGCTCCATGGCGATGCGGACGTTGCCGTTGAAGGCCTCCTGCCAGCCCTTGGCGATCCAGGTCTGCCGGTCCCAGTACTCGGGCCCCTCGGCCTGGATCCAGGGGGCACGAGGCTGGGCCTGCTTCACCTCGCTGTCGAAATGGAAGAAGAGCTGGTCGTCCAAGTACCCGACCACGGTGAACTGGGGCAGCCCCGGGCCGGGCTCCGACACCGCCGTGTAGAAATAGCGCAGCGAGTGCAGGCCTGGGTCTGCGGGGAGAGAGAGAGAGACCCTCCTGTCAGCCAGCAGCCCCCTTCCCCACCCAGCCCCCAGGGCGAGCCAGGACCCCACCCCACACTGCAGGGGGGAGAGACACCCTTCAGTCAACAGCCCCTTCCCTGCCCAGCCCCCAGGGCGAGCCGGGACCCCACCCCACACTTCAGGGGGGAGAGACCCCCCTTCAGCCAACAGCCCCTTGCCCCATCCCAGCCCCCAGGGGTGAGCCAGGACCCCACACTCCATGGGGGAGAGACCCACCCCACAGCCAGCAGCCCCTCATCCCCTGTCCCATCCCAGCCCCTGGGGTAAGCCAGGACCTCACCCCACACTGCAGAAGGGAGACACACACCCCCCATCAGCCAGCAGCCCCTTTCGCCCGGCCCAGCCCCCGGGGAGAGCCGGGACCCCACCCCACACTGCAAGGGGGTAGATGGGGCCTCTCTCTCTGTTGGGCCAGGGGTCCATGCAGTGCCCAGCGTGACGGGGGGCCTAATCTCAGTTGAGCAGGGTCCGCACAGCACCTGGCATGACCAGGCCCCTTATCCTGACTTCTGGTCCCCATAAACATTCATTAACAGCAGCAATTCGTGTCTGGCAGCCTCACCCACCTCGCACTGGGCCCTTGCCAGATGGGGGCACGAAACCACAGGGGGGGGGCTAGGCAGGGTGTCGGGGGAGCAGCAGCCGTCACCGCAAAATCCAGTGTCCCACAGGGAGGGAGGCAAAGGGGGGGATGGGAGGGGAAACTGAGGCATAGCCAGAGGTCGTGACATGCCTAATGTTGTGGGGAAGGAAGTGGGGCAGGGCTGACCCTGAACCGGGGGTTCCCACAAAGACAGACAGCGGGGAAAGGGTTAAACATTGGCGGTTTGACTCTGACCCCCCCCTTCGGATCAGGAGCTGAGCCCTGCTGGGAGGGGAGCCCTGCTCTCTGTACCCCCCCACCCGGTAACAACTGGCAGAGATCCTCCACTCCCCGCAGCCGTACCGCTCCCCGGGCCACCCCCTCTTTCCCCGGGACACCCGGCTATAGGGGTCCGGGGGGTGCCAGTGCCCAGCTAGCCACCCGGGGCTCGATTCTGGCCTCGCACTAGTTTTTACACCCCCGGTCTCAGCGGCTCACTCCTGATTCACAGCCAGGCGGCCAAGAGCAGAATGGGGCCCTGGGGGGGTCTGGATTTGAGCCCCAAAGCCCCTCAACCCAATACAAGCATTTCCTGCCCCCTGGCTCATCCCCCTCGACGCCCCCCAGCACAGGTCACCACTGCCCCTAATGGGACAGGATCCTTCCCCCCCCCGTGCGGGGGGGTAGCACCCCAATACTCACGGGAACAGCCCCCTGGGACGGCAAAGACCCCCAGCAGGAGGAGAGGGAGGGGGAGGGGGACAGGCAGGGCCATGCTGAGCCCAGTCACTCTCCCCCTATATCGGCCGAGACGCTCCCCACTGGGCTCCCCAACAGAGCGACTCTCCGGGTGCACCCTGCCCCTGGCCTCGCCCCGGAGACTTTGCCCCAGGAAGCGCTGGGCCAGCCGAGAAAGCCCCACAAGGGATCGGCTGCCCCATCCCCTGGGACAGAGCAGAGCCCGTCTGCCAGCTGGAGACGGAAAGTGAAAGTGTCACAGAGGGTGGCACCTCCCCCATAGGGTAAACACCTGGCTGGGCAGGGTGGTGTAATGGTTGGAACCGGGGGAGGGGTTGGGAGCCAGGACTCCT